TAGTATCTTGTATCTAAAAAAATGTTAATTAACAATTTTTATAGGTATTAATACCTATTATAAACCTAATATAATATTGAATATAGGCAATAGTTTTTCTTTTCAAAATATCATTGAAAATTGTTTGTCCAAGCTATTTTGTTATATTTTTATTTGTTTACTTTAAGTATAATATAAGACTATTATTTAGATAATATTTTTTAGATTTTGTTAATTGTCATGTCGATAACTGGGTCAAATGGTACTTTTAAAAATTTATTTTTGAGTAGGAGTATGGGGACGTATGGGAGGCCCCATCGAAATTACCTTACACTAATCTCCCAGGGTTATTTATCCCCTTTCCATTCTCCTATGGGATATACGTATCCCGCCACTGCACAACATTACCAGTGTTTGTTGGATCCGAAGTTTTTACGCCGGCTGGTAGATCTACCCTAGGAGGTCGTGGATGACAGTGTCGATTGTTAAGGCCACTCCCGGATTTTTGTCGCCGGGTCGGGCCATACGCCCAGTTTAGGCTAGTGGAGAGCGGAACAAGGAGGGTAAAAGTTGGTTTTTAGAGGACATTGAACTGACCCAAAACTAAGAACAATCCGGAATCTTCCTCAACCAGGGCCTTAGTAATAACCCCATTCAATTGGGATTCATGAATGGGGGTAGAAGTGTTAGTACGCTGCTAGAACCTGTCCTTGTTGGCGTATTTCTGAACGTCTCTGTCCTAGTAGTTTCCGGTTCCTGGTAACCTCTTCCTGGTAACCTCTTTAGAATTGTTTGCCCCCCTGTGAAATACTGAATCTTGTCTTCAGTACCGAAGTGTTGACGGCCACGACCCGCCGTAAGTGCCCTCTGCCTTGGTGGATATTCCTCATGCCGAGTGCCGGCTACCTTTCTTGTATATTCTTTATTTATTTTATTGTTAAATTAGTGTTTATACTGTTTATTATTATTTAATTTATATCTTTGCATTCTTACTTTTTTTCAAAATTTAATTTAAAAATATAAATATTAATAGGTAAACACGGGTGGTAGTTTTAACAATCATAAACATTAAATATTGTATACCAAAATTTGAGTCTTGAGTTGCTCTTTCATAATAACTATGTTATAATTTTACATAGGGCTGAGTTTCAAAAATAAAATTTAAAAACTGGGTGTGCAAAGTTACCCCCTTGTTGCGGGTTACTTTGTCTCACAGTGTATTTTCCGTATAAAATTAATTCAATATTTTATTTTATTTTTATTAGACCTATGTTAGCAGCGACATATAGCAATTGCAAGGGATTACCGATAAAAACAATAAAAAATCGACCTGTACTTAACCAAGGATCATCATTCCAAAGAATTGCGCATAATATAGAAATTGAAAGGCGTGTATTTTTAAGAGTTTTGCACTAATGCAATATATACAACTTTAAAGAATAAATCCCATTTATTTTTTTAAAACACTGATTTTCCTGTAATATAAACTCAATAGAATCGCTCAATTGACAGGTTTAGACCAACAAATTATAAATGTTAATTTTATCGAGCACGAAAAATTTTTTCATAAAAGGGCTAAAGTCACCCGCGGGGTGCAAAGTCACCCGTGTTTACGGTATACAAAATAGATAAAGCCGGCACTGTGGTGTATCATATTAATTTGGAATACGACACTAATGGCAGGCGTGTAACGTAGACTTTAACGTGGGCGTTTTGTTTATTAAGAGACTGTTTATTTACTTTCGTTATCTTTTAAAAGCTTTAATTTGTAGCTGGCCTGTAATTTGATGAGTATATTATATAATATATATAATACAATAATATAATATTGTGACGTTCTTACTTGGTATGGTTTTTTTTACACTCCTACGCTGTTATAAGTATTGCCAGGTTTTTGTTACAGACAGTGATGCCAGGTCGTTTTTTTTTTAAAGCGGCAGATTTAGTTAAAAAAAGCGGGAGATTCGAATAAAAAACGGTAGTTTTTAATTTTTTTTTAATACCATGGTTTTCTCTATTTTAATACTTACGTAACCAAAAAAAAATAGATTGAATTTGTCAAAATAAAACAAAATATGATAAACCAAAAACAAACAAAACTGTTAATTGTTACTAACTTCTTTTTCTAAGGAAAATAATTTCATCCAATCAAATTTGAATATTCGCGTACTACAAATTTGGTTGGCTGAAATACCCCGTGACTGAGACACTGACATCTGTGAATAATACCAACTAATTGTGTCATATCAATATTTAGTTTAGGCAACCAATATTTTACTTTTGGTTCATATAAATTGTATAATACGAAGGAGAATTTGTGAATTTTATTTATTAAAAGAAGTAAAAAAAGCGGGAGATGTTTTTCAATAGCGGTAGAACGGGAGATTGTTTCCAAAAACGGTATATCTACCGCTAAAACGGGAGACCTGGCATCACTGGTTACAGATTTGCGTACTTGGTCATGCAATGATACTTATCAGAATCTGAAGGTGATGATCCCTTCCACTCTTCGTTAGTCTCGTTTTTTCTTTAAATAGGTGATTCCTTGACCTGTCCCCTGTCAGTTTATTACTTCCGTGTCCGCACGGACCTCACCCCTGTGTTCACCGTTGAGAGATTGCCTTTTGAAGAATTATTTAATGTTTCTATTAATCCTTTGGAGAGTGATATTAATATCTCATGGCGGTTGACGTTGAGAGACGTTATAATATTATAAAAATATAATAGAATTTCTTGCCCAGAAATTCTATTATAACAAATATAATAGAATTTCTAACCCAGAAATTCTTCTAAATGTCAATAAATATCAGCATATGTAGTATGTTTTTAGGTCGGCGAGTTATAGCGCGATTTGACGGATTTGGGACTTTTGCGCACCCAAGGTCATCCGCCATGAGATATTAATTGCACTCTACCCTGATTTCACCTGTACAGGTATGTAGTAACCCAAAATAGTAGCACTGTTTCGCACCGCACTTTACTCGACTACACTGTATATAATATTTATGTTTCTTTAAGAGTTTTATTGTGGTTAGGCACTAAGAGCGCTCGAACTCACACATCCACTCTCTTACCCGTTTGATTTGAAACTGCTTTTCAACAAATTTATTTTTTGCATATAAATTATGCATTGCTCTTTAAAAAATAAACATTGCAAAGCAATAATTAATATTATATCCATCCACAGTAAAATTGTTAAAAGTGTAACTTTAATATGCAAATTTTTATTACGATTTGATTTAAAACCATGCATTTAAAAAAATCTCACGTGAGATTAAGGGAGGGGGGAGGGGATCGAGTAAAATCTCACGACATCTCACCAAGGGGAGGGGGAAGTCGAAAAATCGCCAAAATTGCCTCACGTAATTAATGGATGACCCCTTAGTAGGGGTGTGCAAATATCGTTCGAATCGAATAATTTGAATTTTCGAATTATTCGAAATTTTACGAATAATTCGAAAAATTTCAAATAATTCGAGAGTTAATGAAATATCTCTGGATTTTTAAATGCTTCCATTTAAATTCCTTTAAATCGTATATCGAAATATTCTACTTACGAATAATATACTTTTCGTTTAAAAATCAATTACCCAGAGAAAATAATTGCTCATTTTCAATATATGTTCATCTCTGTCGGTAACATAAAAAATCTAGATGGCAAGAGATATTTTCTATTTATTTTGGTCTTATTAATTAAATTAAATTTTGTTTGAAAAAAATCTATAAGAAAAAGGTTACTCATGTAATGTTTCAGTATTGTATTTATTATTTTTGAACAAAAATTTGTAGCAAATTTTCAAATGTTGTATTTTTCATAATACTGTATTTGCTACGATATAATTTCTGTTGTTTCATTCTCTTTAAAAAATATATACTAATTGTTCTATTTGTGTAACAATATTTCATGGTTTGAATAAAATGTATATTGACTGTTAAATTCATATTTGAATATTGAACATAAAAAATAGTTTACGAATAATTCCGAAAAATTTCGAATTATTCGAAATTTTTCCAATTATTCGGTAACTTTCGAATAATTCGATTCGAGTTCCGAATCGAATATTAATATTCGATTCGGAACGAATAATTCGTAAGTTCGAATTATTCGCACACCCCTATGAGTTATTTATTGTTATAAATTTAAAAAATTTCTCGCCTTACGTAAGTTTACTTACGTAACCTATAGGTTACTTGAAACTATTATTACAGACTAAGCAAATATACTTATGAGGTGTAACAACCAATTGTCGAGAAGCAGAAATAAAGTTGATAGTGCACAACGACGTGCTTAATTTCACCCTAATACTTTAGACATTTTGGGAATTTTGTTTTAAAAACCTTTTTTGATCAATCTGGTTAAGTTATTTATGGCCTAGGACGTAAAAAATCATTATTTACTACTTTGGACTAATAAAAAAATTCGACTTGTAATATCTATTTAATTTCACTTTCTACGTTTAATGTAGTTTAACAAATAAAATTTTGAAGATAAAATATGCCATGCGACCAAGTGTCTTTTTGTGCTTTGCTCATTAATTTCCATTCAGATGAATTACTCCTCACCTTCCGCTTGTGTGGCCAACTTTATCAGTCGTTGAATAATATACCATTAAAGCATTATATTTATGGAAATAAGAATGAAAAATATAACAGCTAAATTTAAAACAATATCGATAAAAAATTTTTTTTACTCGGTTTCTTTCATTTTATCTATGCCTTCGGAGAAAGAATCTGTCATTGACAGACTATTATTATTTATTTAGTTAATGTTTTTTTGGTTTTTGTTGGAAGATAAAATTGAATAAATAATTCGGAGGTCTTGTTGTGATTTGCTCAATTGCTTTGCTTTGAGCTCAGCACAAAAAAAAACATACTTCTCCTAATGACATAATCTACTATTACTTACCTGATATCATAGAAATAATACAATTTCTATTACTGATATTTATTTAGGTAGAAAAGAGCTCAATTAAAAATTGCATATATTTTTAAATATTATATTATATAACTTTAAAATGGTGCTCACAGATTGAGATCTATAAGTACGATGTTGAAATTATAATATTTATCAATATTGTACAATAAATTTACAAATGAAATGAAAACTGTATAGATATATAACTTTAATTCATTTCAAATTAATTAATACTTATCCAATCCTGATAAAAAAATGCCGTTGTCATTTGTCTATCAGAAATATTAATCCTTAAATCTAACAACTCAATATAATGTATACACTTTTCATTTATTTATAGCCAGTTAAGTTCGAGAAAAAACTTTCATGAACTATTATGAATGTTCTGGTTTCTTGTTGGCCGGCCTTCAAGTTTGCTGTAATCCAGATGGAATTCTTTTGCTACTTTCCTCCAGTTTTGGGCATCGAAAAAGTAGTAGGTTCCCCTTTCGTACGTTGATGTCTTTTCTATTAATACCATACCAGGTACTTGCGTTATCCAAACCTTTTCTTCTGTGTGGTACCTCCATTCCCGGTTGTATCTGTAAATTAATTTCATAAAACCAGATAAATTTTTGCTTAGCATGCTTACAATTCATCAGCTGCTGCAATCTGAAGTACGTCACCAATGTTGTTGTAAAACATAAAGAACAAAAGATCGTCTTTATACCGACTTAACTTCATGGAAGCAAGTTTATCCCTACAAAAAAATATACTTTTTTTTACTGTCAATCATAAAAATAAATATGTAAATGTAAATTCCAGAATTTAACCCTGGGTGAAAACATTAAGCTAAAAATGACATAAAACCATAAACTTGGTTGCTTATAGTACCTAAAAGTTACTTCCGGTCCCCCATTTTTTGAAATTACGATTCATAATTTAGAATCAGCTACCTAAATAAAATTACTTTTGATTTTTTTAGTAGTTGCATTTGCCCTTGCCATTTGTCCACTGTTTTGCGGTTTTGACCTAAACTTTTTGCATATGTTTAGATGTTTGCTGCAAGAATAAAAACGACTCCAAGATATGCTAGCTTGACCTTGTGTCTGTACTGGGGAGTTTACTCCTTAAGTTTAAATTAATCGCGGCGCATTCGCCATTTTATAAAGTACACCTCCTAAGCCGCCCAATAGCCTGTTACCGGTCGGAGCGCGCGAGTTAACAGCTCTGCCGTGCTTAATGAAAACGCCGTAACCAACAATTTTGAGATTTTTGTTTTACGGCATTTTCTACTAGAACAATTCATCCTGCGTCTATCCCCGGTACTCAAAAAACCGTATATATATATAGATACGGTTTTTTGAGTACCGGGGATAGACGCAGGATGAATTGTTCTAGTAGAAAATGCCGTAAAACAAAAATCTCAAAATTGTTGGTTACGGCGTTTTCATTAAGCACGGCAGAGCTAGTTTTTAAATAAAAAATAGATGTTTAGATTATGTATCCAATACATTAAAATCTTAGATAATCTATTATTTAAAAACTATTCCAGGATTTTGGACATTTGTCTAACTCAGGACTTCCGAACCAGTGGAGCGCGCCTCTCTAGGTTGGGCGTAAAGAGATGTGTTCGGACCAAAAAGCCTATAAAGAGGACTTTCTTGCTGGGGGCACGCCAAAATAGTGATTAGTAGTAACCTAGGGGCCGTCCATAAATCTAGCGACGCTAAAAATGGTCAACATTGACCCCTACCACCCTCGTGACAGAATGTGACGATATAAAGACCCCCCCGAAGGTGATGTGACTAATCATCGAAGTCCCCTACCCCCTAAAAATATTTTTTGTAATAATCTGTCTAAAACTGGAACTTACTTTGTCACGTGGCGGTCCTTTAAAAAACCCCTCCCCCTCCAGCGTCACGGGATTCATGTGAGGAATCATCGAACTCCCCTACCCCCTAAAAATAATTTTCCGAATATTTTTTTGTAATAATCTGACTAAAAATGGAACAAAAAAGCAATCTCATTCGATTTACTTTGTCACGTGGCGGTCCTTCAAAACCCCACTCCCCCCTCCAGCGTCGCGGGATTCATGTGACGAATCATCGAACTCCTCTACCCCCTAAAAATAATTTTTCGAATATTTTTTGTAATAATCTGATTAAAAATGGTCCTTCAAAAAACCCTCCTTCCACCAGCGTCACGAGATTTATGAACGGCCCTACTGATAGTCTCGTGCGCACACTCTGTGCAAAGTAAAACAGTTAGTGTGAAATGTCGTTACTGAACGTTGCAAAATATTTATTTGCCTTTTAATGGATTAACGATTATGACTCACAATTTGTGAGGTAGAACTAATAAACATAAAAACGTGCGTTTATTGAACTAAAAAGTACAAAATAATATTTGTACGATGTTGAAGCTACAGAAGAACAAACAAAAATAAGTTAAAATTAAATTACAATAACTTATTATATTTCACGCCTCAAGCTTTTAAAAAAATATTCAAATTTAATTTCGATTATTTTTTGTTGGTTCTTCTGCAGCTTTACTATTTTACCGTTAATTCAACTAATGAAAACATGCATTTACCGATTTACCACAACTGGTCTTTCTGCAGAAAGGAACCAACTCACAAAATTAAAAAAGTCGAGATCTTTAACCTATAAACTAATTAAGTATGTAAAATGTTTCTGCAAAATAGGTCATAGCCACAATGCAAGTGCAGTGCAATCTTTTAATCATTGAACCAACCAATACTCAATAATAGTGTGAGAACCTGTAGAATAGATCCAAGTGGGTTTGATCCATAGATGACCGAAATAGTGGTTTAATAACTAGGTATTAGGGTGGTCGTTAAAAATTAAATTCTTTCCGACGCACAGTGTTTCAATTCTCTAAAATATCGGCAAAACCTAAAAAATTGACATTTTTTTTCAGGTAAATTTTGATTTAGTTGTACCATTTTACTACATATTTCTACTTCTACTTTACATACTTTATTTTGTACAGTTTATCTTATTTTATTTATATGATAAATCGATATTCTTTATTTAAAATGTTGATACTTTGTTTCAATTTCTGGACAACAAATATTTGTTAGAATTTTTGTGACATTGTCTTATTTTATTATTAATGATAATAATTTTATTTTGCTATATTTGATTTGCACTGACATATTTTTATTACTGAAGTAATAAATTTATCATACCTGATTGTATTTATTATTTATGACTGTACACCAATACCACTTGTTATTAATATATTTTACTACCATTTGTTATTGTTACACTTTATGTTTCACACTGTTGTTGTTTGTCGCTGTAGATTGATAATTATTTCAATTGGTATTTGCTTTTCTACACCTTCCGAGCCTATTATTTATGTTGTGAATTATCTAAGCAATATGATAATATAATTAATTATATTTATATTGATTTCTTTGATTTTGACGCATATGCTTGTCTGGATGGCATAAAAAATCACGACATGATTTTTTATGCCATCGGTGCACTGACATGTTCGGATATTTATTTTTGCGCCACATTCGTACATTGAAAGAAAAAGTATGTTAACAATTGAATTAACAGTTTTTGCTGTTAAATACATTTATTATTTTCTTGGATGTAAATTAACTATTAATTTAAATCCAAAAAAATATTGAATGTATTTAACCACAAAAACTGTTGATTCAATATACATATATGTAGGTATACTTTTTCTCTCAATGTACGAATGTGGCGCAAAATAAATAACCAAACACCGATGGCATAAAAAATCACGACATGATTTTTTATGCCATATCATACGGAAGTCACCTCGTAATAAATGAAAATCATACGAACGCCACGTCGTGATTTTCACAAATTTTGTTCATACGGACATCATCCGGATGTCACTGCGTGAGAAATGAAAATCATGTCGTGATTTTTTATGCCATCGCTGTTTGCGATTGACCGATGGCACAAAAAATCATGTCGTGATTTTTTATGCCAACGGTGTTTGGATATTCATTTTTGCGACACATTCGTACATTGAAAGAAAAAGTATGTTAACAATTGAATCAACAGTTTAACATTCAATATTTTCTTGGATTTAAATTAATTATATATAATAATAATAATAATCAAGGGCGTACCCAGCTAGGGGCAGGGGGGGCAGCTGCCCCCCCCTAGAAATTTACAAATTATAAAAAAAGCACTGCCAAGTACAGGAAATGAAAAAAATCAAAATAAACCACTATGGTTTTACTTAAAAAATTAGAAAACCGAAAAACATAGGATACTAACACTAAAATATATTCATATACGTAAATCAAGATGCAGCGCAGTCTATTAGATTTGCAATTAATATGAATATTCTGTCCCGAACCTGGCCATTTGCACCTTGGCCAACCGAATTGTGAAGTGGGAGATATTCCGATGACAAGTGTCTACGTACAGCATAGAAAAAGAATATACGTACACTGTACGTCGTACACCAACTTGTACGTACACCAACTTGTACAGCCTGGTTTATATAGATGCAACGTCGTACACCAACTTGCGGAGCTTCGAGTTTGCGCATTTTGTAGTTATCGGAACTTGTAAATATGTTTGGGTGTTTGATCTTCAGTCACAGCAGTTATAGTTTATTGCAATAGTTATTTATTTTATTATTATTATTTATTATCCTATGGTATTTACAGAAAGTGATTACCGATGAAGTTACCGTTACTGTCAAGTTTAAGTAATAAAATATGAATTTATTTATAATATAACATTTTTACTGTCACATTGTAATAAGTTGATTTGAGAATAAAAAAAAAAAGATTTTTTTTCCAAAATTGAGTATTTTTGAGAGAGAAAAAAAATTAAAAAAGCACATGCGTCACGTGGGATTTGAACCCGAGCCTCCTGGGTGGGAACATGGTATCCTGAGCCATATCCCATATTGGATATGATTTAATTTAGGCAAATCTGAAAATTAAGCCATTATTAAGTTTTTTTAAGTAGCAAAATCCATTGTTTTTTTTTTGGCCAGCCCCCCCCTATTTCAAATCCTGGGTACGCCCTTGATAATAATAATAATTTATTTGCAGTAACTGTAAAAATATATATCAATGATTTACAATAAAACACAATTGCACATTTCTGCAAAAAGGACTGAAAGGCAGTAATTACTGATACAAGTTTCAGCCCAGAAACAACTATAAATAATTTACAAAATAGACATTTAAACAATTTAACACTATGGCATTATCCTAAATAAAATAAATAAATAATACGCCCGCAAGAGGCTTTCTGCGAGCCAAAAATGGCTAACCAATAAATTTAACACAACATCTAGATATAAATAACACTAAACATGAACAAGCCTAAACTATAACTAATCTAAAGTAATCTAAATTTGGCTACCAAATAATATTTCTTTAAATTTAAACTTAAAGTTTGAAAGGTTAAGGTTTTTAAGGAGTAATGACAGTCCATTGTACAGCCAGTAAATGTTGTATGAAAAAGATCTCTCAAACGATGCTGTATGATGTAAAGGTGGAGAAAGCATACCCTTGAAACGCAAATTCAAGGTGTGAACGTCGCTTCTAAAGGTAATTTTGTTATACAAATATGGGGGAATTTTACCAATAATAATTGAATGATAGAGCGTCACGGCGTGTAACTTCCTTCTATTTAGCATACTAAGCCAGTTGGCGGTTTTAAGTTTTAAAGAAACAGAATCGTATTTCCGAATTCCATAGATATAACGCAAGCAACTCCTCTG